TGGCCGCCCTCGATGACCAGATTAGGGCCCGTCATGTAGTCGGAGGCTTCGGAGGCCAAATAGACGACGGCAGCCTGCAGGTCGGTGGCCTGGGCCAGCCTGCCGGCGGGGATGTCCGCCAGCCAGCGCCGCACCAGCGGCCGCAGGTCCTTGGAGCGGATGAGCGGCGTGTCCACAATGCCCCTGCAACGAGCACACGCACCAAGAGTTTAGGAGCGGGTTTTTCCCCAGAAGGATAGGCAGCACTTACAGGTTGTTAATTCGGAAGGAAAAGCGTGGAATAGCACACAGCAGACGCGCAAGTCAGACCCGCTCTGCCTCTGCTGAAAGTCATGATGCAAACTTTGGTAGCGCTTCTTTCCTATTGCCTTTCGCTGCTGACGGGCAGGCTTAGAGGTTTTCTTTAAAGTGAGTACATACATACTATCTTCTTAGCTAACAGCAGTACCTCCTTACTTTTAGGTTACTCGTTGTAATCAGCAGTTTGATTTTTTTATAGAAAACAAGCATGGCATTGGAACCGAAAGCGCCTTGAACCGGGTCTGTCATGGCTCTTGGGAATTGTCGTCCTTCTACTGATTTCTCTTCTCATGGCTTTGCAGCATAATGTCACACAGCATGTTTGCGTACAGCCCAGAAACTGAAAACAGCCCGACTTCCCGTATGCAAAAAACGGGAGAAACAAAAGCCAGTACCCTTCCGGGCACCTGACCCTTTCCACACAAAAAAAAGAGAGACAAAGATAAGCACAGCACACCCAGTGCCGTTCCCCTTAAACCAGTACCCTGACAAATCACACCGCGTTTACCTGCCTTGCCTCTTTTACATTGTGGTGACTACACCATTTATTAACACTCTGCTAAGTTCATTTTCTTCAGGTGCCCTAAAAATGAGTGATGCTCCGGAAAGCGCAACGCAGGGCGCACATTTGGCTGGCTTTTATGACTTTAACTGCAACTGATTTGTCATACTCCTCCTTAACAACATATTTGTATTTTGCGAAATGTATGATTTTTTTCAGCCCCTGAACAAATATATTTACATAACTGTGTCTAACGAGAAATTACATTTAACTTCTCAGAAATTACAATAACTAAAACCTGAACTGCCAATTCCACTTCATTAGTGTGGTAGAAATGCATTCCAAATGTTAATAAAAATTCCAACATGCTGATAAATTAGCGCTTCTAAGGAGCATGTGACACCTTGGTTAACATATTCAACCTCAATTATATTTCTCTTCAGCACCCTGTTATCTGGAACCTTTGCTGGCAATCAGAGGTGCTGTTTTTCAGCGGCCAATTTTCTAGATAATGTAGCTTATCAACACTGTGGGTAAACTTGCCAATGAAATCAGGCTGCACTGAACCACACACACGCTAATTGCATCTCTTTTTTATGCATATTTACAGACTGTCACTTCAAAGAAATCAGTGGCCCATTGAGGCAGCCAGTTAGCTGGAAGAATTGCCTCTTGCAAATGAAAATTAGCAAACAAGCTAGTGATAAATATGAAATGAACAAAGTATAAAAATACCCGTTTTGTTCTGAAACTTCATCGGCATCCCAATTTATACTTCCAAGGAAATAATTTTTTGAGACACACTGGATTCTGGGTATGAGATTTACCTTTTGTTTTAACTGAAGGTGGAAATCTGCTATTTACTCTGTTACAAGGTGGAACCAATTCAGACTTTCCCCGAAACATTTCTGTTTTCACTAATCGGGCAGGATTTAAATATCGGCTTTATTTTTTATTGTAATTGTCAATAAACACCAGAGCAGTTCAGAAACACTGAGCGATGCAGCTCCCTTAAGCTCTGGCAACGTAATAAAATTAAACACATTCCAGTATAGGACTGCAGACGCTTTACTTATTTCCCCCAAGCACAGCCCCCTGCTCTCCCCCCTCGCTCTCCCAAACTCCTCAAGAACTGGTTTTCTTCACAGAAAAACGTGCTTTGAGCAGCAGACGTGAAATATGTTGGATTCCTTTCCCTTACGTGCCTCTCACCGTGCTTACAAAACCATCAGCATAATCGTTCTGGCTTTACGCTATCAGAGACTAGAATAAGATCCATATGACTTTTTAATTTTTTTAAATTTACATATATGTTTTAACCCCAAGGGAATGAAGATTAGGGAATATGACACATAGTCCTCCAGCACAACAGATTTTGCTAAAAAGAGGACATTTTTCAATCTGATCGGAAAAATGATCTTTGGTCTGATCACTGCAACCTGTAAATCACAGCGCTGTGCCTCTCGCTGGACCTTTCTTTAGTTCACTTCAAGTAGCAAAAATTCAGATGTGTTACAAAACTTCATTAAAAATTTTTGTTACAGAAATGAGAAAAAAATGTAGCGCAAAACTTAAAAGTTGCAAACACACATACTGATGGCACTATAAATATTAGGCATGTCATTGATACTACACATCTTCTGGGAAAGCTTTGGTGCCAAGTTGGGCAATTTAATGTTGTCGAACCCTTTTAGGCAGATTTTAGTTGGCTTCTAACCAGTTCCAGCAAAGACAACTGCCAATGCATTAATTCCCTACCTCATCTCATATGCAGTGCTGAGCCTATCAGTACTTTCTGTTGCATGTCAATGTAATATCAAACTGCTGGTTCCTTAACATTAGACATGAGCATCAATATTTCATTATTGATACACAGGACAATTTGAGACATTAGGAAAAAAAAAAAAAAGAAAAACAATTGCCTAAAACATTTCCACTTCGAGAGACACATTAGGAAAAATATCACTTACCAGATACTTAACTGGAATTGGTACGTGCGCTCAATCCCCAAATGAGAGCAAAAAAAGATTCCATCTGTGTGTAACTTGATTTCTTTCAGACGAGTTATTAATTTGAATGAGTTAAGTACACTCCACTTAATCAGGAAGTGTTTAATCAAGAGATCCACTTAATTGGGACATCTCCCAAGGAATTAGATTTAAGTCCAAAGATACTTACCAGCAACGACTGCTGCTTAATGGGGATAGTAATGCTGCTTAATTGGGGACGCCTTCAGGTGATGCTGGGGTGCTTCTTCTCCTGCCAGCTCTGCCTCTCCTTCCCCCGTGATGGGGTACACCCAAAACCTGCGGTGATCCTGCCCTACCTGCTTTCTGACTCCTTGTAGCCACCGGGCTAAAAGCCTGGTACAGCACCGTACGGCTGCCTCTGTACCGTCCCAGGGGAGCAAGGCAGGCACACAGGGGATGAAGCTTCTTTGGCCATCGCAGCCCAAACCCTGCAGCCCACCAGTGGAGAACGTGATTCATCCCCTGGGACTGCTGAGTTTCACGGTGTCCCCGACAAGCTGGCCTGGCTGCGGCTGTGGGTTGAGCTGAAGATCAATTTTCAGCTGTCCGTCCCTAAGGTCATCACATTATGGCATTTTCTGCCTTGCAAATCAAGCAGGGAGATGCAATTAACCCCCAAAATGAACACTGATTCAGTGCAACGCCTGCAAAAATGAAGCGTTCCAATGCTGGATGTGCCAAAACCCAGAGACTCTCAAAAGTCCCCTGCTCCATCACACCCAACACACTTCACATGTGCGGGGACCAGGAAAGGGACTAAAACACACCGTGGGCAGCCAGTCATCAGCCGCCAGTCAGTAAAGGTCCCTATTCACACCCAGGTCCCCTCTGCAGCCTGACCCTCACATCCCTTTTGGGAAGACTCCAGCACCTTCTTAACTTTGCTCGGCATCAGCTGGGCAGCAGGCTACCAGGCGATTGCACTAGATGGTGGCATAAAGGCTGAGCACGGTTTCCACGGTACACGGAGACACTTGCTGCTGCATGGAGCAACAGGCAAAGTCAGCCAAAGCATCCAGGGAGTCTCGGCCACCTTCTCCCCATGGGCATGAAGCTTGCCTGGCCAGCAAGAGAAGCCTGAGTCTTCAATTTTATAAATGCAATAAATTATCCTAAGGACTCTGCCATAACATTTTATGCATTGATAACTTTTATGCATTGCTCTGCATAAGTTTTACACACTCATTAAGAAATTAAGTTGATAAAAAGTGACCAGATAGGAAGAGGGAAAAAAAGCCAAAAGGTTTGCATGGTGAAATAATGTTTAAGGCCAGACTGGAGTGTTTGGCGCTTCAGACAGAGGTACGCAGAGAATGCCTTAAAGTATTAATGCAACCATGAGTGAGAAGGGCAAAGGACTTACACTTAAATACTTCACTTATCCAGAGATTATCTTGGGAACCATCATGCCCTATATCTGTCTCTGTGCTCCTCACACTCCTCACACTCCTCTCCTGTTACAAGATGGCTACATGTTAGGTTGGACATCCATGCTCAGAAAGACTTCTGCGTTTGGGACATTTTTCAACCCTAGAAACTACTCTGACAGCATCCACAGATGCGTTGTTGCATTGAGGCTACTGCCCGGTGTTGGGTACCAAGTTCAAGTGGGTTGAAGATGCCCCTGTGCCTCGGTGAGTCACGTCAAGAGACACGACAACGAGACCGGTGGGGTCCATGGTTCTGGGGATGGGTCCAAATCTGCACTGAGATGCAGGTTTACATCTCATACAGGCAGAAGGATAAACGTGAATATTTACTCACTCTCAAGGATATGTGGCTTTTGCTTCTGGTGAGGAGGGGTCCGAGCTATACGAACTGCTGTAGGCTCCTTCCTCCGAACGCTACCCAGAGCTCCCTGGGCGGCCCCGGCACGAGGGGCTCGGCCAAAGCTTTGAACTGCCGGCAGGAAAACTCTGCCTGGCTCCCGGAGCGCTTCAGTCCGGGTTCCCAGCTGCGTCAGGGGGAACTGCCCTGCCCGGAACAGGGGACCTCAAAGGCAGCGAAACATTTGTCCTCTGTGTGCCCTTTCTGGCTATTCCTCCACAAAGAAACCCCCCCTTTCTGTTGTAGGATTTTGAGCTCAGAGCTAGAGCTTAAGATAGGGAGGGATGACCAAAATGCAAGCCTGTTTTGGCTTGGAAAGTAGAAAAAGAAAAGTGTGGCGGTTTTTTCTCCATGCTCTGACAACTGCCTCCAGAAACATAACTTCTTCAAATAAGAGTGTACGCTTCCAACTTACACAAAACCGAGTTTTGATCATTCGGCGGATATTTTCTGAATTCATGTAAACCCTCCAGAAATGGGTAATTCCTCATCTAAGAGCCTCCTTACCCGTGATTGCTGTGAACGTGGCACTGATACCCCACCTCTGTTGGTAAAGATTAGCCATGTGTTTTCAGACACAGCTCCTGCCAGGTCCTACCGAGCTTCCCTAATTCCCTTCATCTCCCTTGGCTCCCGAAAGCCAGTGTAAATTCACTAGCGCTAGTTGTGGGAGCACTACTGCAGTGCTGCTAGCATTGGCATGGGGAAAATCCCATTATGAAGTAAGATGCTGTTTAAAGAATCTGTGGATCATATAGAGCGACGGCTGGAGTCGCTGGTATAATTAGTAATAAATAATCATAAGGAAGACAGCTAGCACGAGGAAGTGGAGAGCAGACTGACAGTAAAAACAGAGGCACTTGCCATTGAGCTCTGTGATTTTTTTTTTTTTACTCCACTTTGTGGATTAAAATATGTAATTTGTTTTTCCTAATTCGATGTACATTGTAACTTCATTATTACAATTTAACTCCTGGGTTAAAATCCTGCCCTTCTTACTTACTCTGATTGACTTCAATGGTCTACGGAATTTGACCGCTTCCAATTAACGCTATCCACTTGGGTTTCTGCTTAGCACCATCATGCACCATTAATTGTTTAATAAAACAACTCTGTTGAGCATGTGTGTGAGAAACAGGGAGAGAAAAAGTGTTTGTGGCAAGAAAACTTTTCTTTGTGAATAAATACCATAAAATAAAACATATAGCTTTAAGCCTCTAAAAATAAGGAAAATGTAATTTGTAATAAATATATATATATTTACAAAATTACACCTGGCCTCCTGTGATTGTCAGAGCTGAACAGTATCTCAATTACAGCAGTACAATGTGGCTTTTAAAGTGCCTATATATTTGTCTCAAGTAAAAAGGGGAAAGAAGTATTGTCTATTAAGTGTCAAAAGCCTTTTCTTTAACCGCAGAAGGCTTGGACAGACTAAGGAAATATTTCATCTGGAAGAGAAATGCTAAAAACTACCCTTCACATTATTGGAAAACCTATTATCAAATGCTAAAACCTCTTCTTAAATCCCTGAGTATACACAGCAACAGAGCAGGCTTGGTTCTAAGTATTTAAACCTTTGTTAAGGAAAAGACAACATAAAAAGGGATGCAATCCACCTGCTAATTAGAAACTTTATTTGCCGAGATACTGTTCGTTTGAGCTTTTTAGAACATTTCATTCTCTTTGTACTTTCAAAATGAGACTACGTTTTACTTACGGGGAAATGCAGTTGACTTTTACTCCTCTCTCAATCCACTCGGTTCCTAATGTCTGTGTTAATTTTACGACCCCGGCTTTCGAGGTGTTGTACGCCAACTGCTTCTGTGGGTGTGGGACTAGAAGGGATTCAGAAATAGAAAATTATTTATTCTCCACAAATTAAGATAGCTTAGGCACTAGGTGGATAATTCCCTGCATTGAGATGAACTATTTGCCATTTTTCCTAATACTAGGCAGGGAGCAACAAGAATTTAGCCACCTGCAACACAAAACTCTAAATCTGTATTTTGCCATCTAACATTTTTGCCTCAGCAGCCGGGCTACTGGAAAAAAATGGAGAACAAAAAAAAGAAATAAAGAAATTTAAAAGGTTCCATATTTGGGCAAAGCCAAAAACAATGTATTAAACATACATATGCAATATTTGACTGCTCCCAAGAAAGATAAATAATCATATACACACATGCACATATGTATGTTTATGCACAAAACACTTGTACACTGTAATACTAATAACATATACTATAGCATAATGATATATGATATAATATAATATGATATGATATGATATAATATAAGCACATAATAAATTTTATATAACATATTATATTATATATAGCTTCTTGGAACAAATTATTCCCCTTAATTTTTAAATTACCCATAGTCTGTAGCAAACACAACATATTATCTAATCAATGTTTGTGTGGATGTGAGCACAGGTGCGTCCCAAAAATTCAGAACACCCACCGCTTTGAAAATCTGAAGCTTTTGAAAATGTTTCAAAGATGTCACATGTCAGTCAGAGAGGGAAAATGATCGGCTTGCTAATTACAATGTTCAAGCTTGTTAGTGCCGTGTGCTCGGCTGGCTCTGCCCCCCCACCAGCTCTCACTTGCAGTATTCCCAGGAAAGCTACTTAAGGACAAATCCCCAGTGGGTGTAAAGTGCTTTAAACCCACGGGAGTCAAACCAAGTCGGTCCAGCTGTTGGGATTTACACCCACAAAGCGTCTCTCCTTGGACTTTTCTGACTGCCATCACGACTTCATTAAACAAATCCAGTGCAAAGCCCTGACCCATAATTAGCACCGTATCGGTACTGAGCGTCACCGAGATGCTGCCTCTTTCATGGAGGAAGAGTGGGGAACAGCAGTGCTAAACATCAGTAATCACAAAGGCAAACGACTGTAGCCTGCGGGGTTAGGTAACGCTGAACCCTGGAAGCAGGGTTTGTGTAAGGTACAGCAGGACCCCCCCCAGCATTTTGGTAAAAGCACATAAGCGGAACTGGTAGGTGGCGTTAAATTGGTCTTAATTTATTAAGTTAAGCTGGTGCATCAGTTCTAGATCGCTACCATCCATGGTATCCCAACACATCCACTATTGCTTTTATTGACTAAAACTGTTGGTTTTGAGTATGTCAATTTAAAGGGTGAAAAGAAGATGATAACAAATTGAGTTACCCAAACTCTGAAAGAGCCAAAAGCCCTGCTGCAAATTGCTGAGCGTGTGAATAAGGACCTTTGCCTTGAACGTCGATGTTTGTGAATAGATTTAAAGCACACACATGATGGGAGCAACAATTAGTGTTTCTGTTTTTCTCCATGTGCTGAAGGTTCGCTCAGAATTCGGAGGCCTTTTGCCTGCTACAAAGAGCATTTCACACCACGGCCTCCCTCTGCCAGCATTTATTCTGCGCTCATTTTTTGTCCGATATGAAATGATTCGCATTTCGACCAGCAGAACCTCTTTGCCCTCTGCGTGTGCCTGTCGCCCCCCAGACGCGGCGCGCCGCGTGGGCTCTCGAAAAGATGTGGAATGTAATTTCTTGATTAATTGCCACGCATCAGCTCCAAGTTACATACAACTTCGGTAGTTAACCTTCTAACCTCCCAAAAGCAGTTCTTTGCTAAACTTTCCAAACATGTCTGTTTGTGATAAATCATTCGGCGTTTGCTAAGAGGATAAGAGTTTTGGCACCGGCTCTGCACCTCTAGTGCACGTGGGTGAGAACAGCAAGTTGCTGCAAGCTATCAAAATCAGCTGTCTGATTTGGGGTGGGTGCTCAGACAGGGTTTTCAAGAGTCCTTCCGCGTAAATGCTTTTGACTTCATAAGAATATCTAAGGAAGGTAATTCAGAAGATGAAATTTCCCCCTGCTGAGACACTTGGCCCCCTCTCAATGGGAAGAGCTCAAGAAGCAGCCAACGAGCGCTGTGAAGCTCTGGCGCTGGGTGGGCTTCCTGCAGCGGAGCACCCCGAGCCGCCTCCTCTTCCCTTACCTGAGGGGGGCTCTTGGAGACAGAAGAGCAAACCTGCAACCCTCCAAACTCATACACAACAGGGCTAGAGCTTGTGAATAAAGCTATGCCTCCAGCAGCGTCACAAAAAAAAAAAAGTCTGAATTTGTAAGGCTTCTGGGAAGCGAGGACACTCAAATTGTTTCCGATGGAGAAGACGGGAGGAAAGCGGATAAAAATGCGGCCAACATCAGCTGCGTTACATTTTAAACACCTGACACTATGTTTTTGCAACTTTGTTCAGTGCATGAGGCTTCTAGCCTGATCTTGAAGCAGCCATGTAATGTTAGTGAGAGGTGCACACAGATAAAGACCAGACCGCTTACCACTAAAGATATTCACTGTAAAAATTACAGATCTGAGTTACACCTGTGCAAATCGCAGAGCTGCAGCAGCCTCGTCTCCGCTGCTGAAGCATACGTCTGGAATAATTCCAGTGAAATACCAGAATCAAAATGTACATATGCAAATTGTATGCAGCTTATCTTCAATTAATTAAAACTGATTCTGAGCAGTGTATCTGGAAAAATCACAAAAAAAAATCTCCCTATCCTGCTAAGTGTCTCCTCGTTTTCCTGTATCTCTGAGGAAGGACTCAACCTACAACAACAAAAAAAAAAAAAAAAATCCCCTAACTATTTCTAGAAACATTTCATACTATGCCAGTTGGCCAACATACTTAAATAACCAACCAACCAACATATTTATTTAACATTCAGCAGATGGACATGATATGAACATCGTGGTTTTCAGTCGTAGTTTTATAACTACTAGATTTTTTCAATGCCAAGATTCAAACAGGTTCAGAAGGTAAACACATCTCTTCGTCTCTTAACTTCTGGCCTAACATGCATTAACTTTCAATGGCAGTTAAGCACATTTTGCAATGACCCTTCCAGGCTGCTCTCAGGGTTGCTTTCCAGTGTTTGTTCCTGCTCCAGGACCGATACTGCCCTCAAACGTGATCCCCACGTGGGTCTCGGTGGACTTGGCCAGCCGAGGAGGCGCAGCCCCGCGCTGGGGCTGGGCTGGATGCTGTGGAACGGCATTACCTCCCGGCTCAGCAGAACTGTGCCAGGGCCTGATGGAGAAGCTGGGAAATGCCTCTCCTTAAGCAGTGGAGGGCACTTCTGGGCTGCAAGAGAAAGGCTTTGGCGTGTGCCAAACCAGCAGACCCCCAGCTGGTGCCAGTTTCCAGAGCTTCAGACCTTTCTCTGGGGTGGAACACTTCCCAGTAAATTTTGCTTTGCGACAATGATGCGGACGGTGACGGCCCGAGCCCAGACCAGAGCCCCACTGTGCAGAGCAGCGCACAAAAGTCCGGGGCATTTGAAATTTAAAGCTTTACATTCTTTTCAAAACTATTTTTCTTTGGGAGCTTTTGTAACTCTACAAAGTTGGGCAGAGGGATGGTGCCTGTGTTTAAGCACAAGTAAAACAGCTGGTAAAGGCACTTGAAAAAAAAAAAAGATTAACAACAACATTATAAATGCATTTTTGAAGAAACATTTAAAGTTACTGTGCAATAAACTGAGCAGAATGTCACAGAATGTCAAACTGGGCACAGTAAAAATAAATGTTATTCCCAAGGAAAATAAAAAGACTGCATATTTATGTAACATTCAGCAGATGGACATGATATTAATACAGGGGTTTTCAGTTGTACTTTTATAGCTACTAGATTTTCTAGCCTAACTTGGCAACCCAAGGCACCATTTGATTTTTGGATTTGGACAATACTGCAACAGATGTCCAGACCAATAAAATAAATTCCTAAAGGGCTATGCTTAATTTGTGTAATTGATCAAGTTTTGTTACATGGGCCTCAGTTCACCAGCATGTAACTGCCTTCCAGATTAGCTCAGCAGTAGGGATTTCATTCCATATGTTACAATGGTTTATTGGCGCTTTTGACAACACTGCTGATTCAGCAGCGTTGGTGGAGACACCTGTTGGCAACGATAATGAAATAAAACCCACGGGCACCGGGGCGAAGACCTGCACAAAAGCTTTCGGGTGGCTTGTAAACATCGGAGGGGCACAGCTTCCCGCGCTCAAACGCGTTTTCCTGAAATGAGGGGGAAGTGCACCAGCACCTCTCCCGTGCCATCGGTGCATCGGAGTCAGAGGAGGTGACTCCACCTCTTCTATAAAAAGTAATAAGTGCTCTAAAACATAGAGGACAGATAAATGTTGAAAAATGATATCAATAAAAATTTTGTAGTACATTTCCTCTAATACAAAATGTCAGTGATTTACTCCTTCCCAATACAGGTTTAATTGATTCAAATAGCATCGGTAGTAATTAAAATATGGATTCTGAAGCACAACTGTTAGCTCTCATCACTCACCTATTAAACTTGCCATAGATGCTGTGTTAATTATCTTCCCATATCCTTGATTCAGCATAATGCGGCCTGCAGCCTGTGACAGAAATTAAAGGAAAGACCAGTGACCCTTTTTGTGATTGTGCTAATAATGACATGATAATAAATTAGTCTTCACTTTTCAGAAGAGTTTATGTGCTAACACATTTTTTTTTAAGCACTTGATATAAAAACTTGGTATAAAAATGGCTGATGCAGGAAAAATCCCACTGCCATTTCAGGCCCTCTTCACTGTTGGCAATATTTTTTCAAAATAATCACTAATGTTGGGAATGGCCCCCCCAAAGCTTTCTGGTTTTCAGGAAGCGTCAAATAACCACCCTCCAAAAAACCTGCCCATTCTTAAATGCCTGGGCTTGGGCAGCCAGTAAGTACCAGCTGTTTTTGAAAATATTGACCAAAATCTGTAATTGATATAAAGAAAATCTCTCCTTAACTCCACCATAATTTTATTGTGATAATTAGTAACAAAGTATTATTGAATCTTGGTAAAGTAAATGCTTAGAAAATTATTACCCATCTGCAAAACAAATGAGTACAGCGTTTCACACTTACTTGGCAGCACAAAAATAATCCTCGTAAATTAACATTAAAAGTTTTGTCCCATTCTTCTAGGGAAGTATCTTCGCTCGCAGAGTTCATATTGATTCCCGCATTGTTGCATGCGATGTGAACCGTGCCCCAGCGAGCTACAATTGTATCCACAATCCTTTGCACATCCTCGGGTTTGCTTACATCTGCTGCGAGGGCAATGCTTTTAATCCCTGCGTTAAAATAAGAGTGATGAAGTCGGTACAGGTATTCATAGAGAAAGAAAAAAAATGTTTGATGATTAT